AAGGTCAGAGGATATAGGGGAAGTTGTTGGTAAGACAGCAATAGGGCAGGAGTAGTGATAAGCTAAGCCAGTGGGTATGAGATCTGTTGGGATGGAAGAAATTGGAGTGGAAAGGTGACTTTGGGCAGGTGGGGAGAGAGGCAGAGGTGGTGGCATGGGAAACGAGGACATTATTGATGAAGCCACAGATGCAGCGGGAGGAGAGGTGACAGACTTTGTTTGTCCAAAGCCAGAGGTGAATGAGAATTCAGTTTCATTAAACTGGACGTGCCGTGAGATAAACACTTTTCCTGTTGGGCTGAGACAGCGATGACCCTTGTGCATTGGACTAAATCCAAGATATACACATTTCATGGTATGGAACTAGAACTTCTGGCTGTGATATGGGCGTAAGCAGAGGAAACAGGCACACCCAAAGGTGTTTACAGATGTGAGATCAAGTTGCTTCCCAACTAGTGCTTCCATCGGAGACTTGAATTTTAGAACGACCATAGGCATGCTGTTTATCAAGAGGGTGGCAGTAAGAAACACATCCCACCAATAGTTCAACGACATAGATGCTTGAGCGAGAAGTGTGAGACCAGTCTCAACTATGTGTCGATGCTTTCTCTCTGCCCGTCCATTTTGTGCTGAAGTGTATGGATAAGAGACTCGGATTTGAATCCCAAGATTGCGGCACAGAGAATGAATTGGTTGATATTCGCCCCCACCATCGGATTGAAGTGTCAACACCTAGATCTTGAATTGATTCTGTATCAAAGATAAAAACTGCTTAAAAGCTACAATTGTATCACTTTTCTGACGTAAAGGAAATATCCATGTGAACCGACTGTAATCATACAAAAAATGGACATAATATCGAAACCCGTCTGAAGAGAGGTGAGGTGCCGGTCCCCAGAGATCTGTATAAACTAGTTCAAACATTCCTGTAGCATGAGAGTGAGAGTCATGAAACGGTAAGGCATGAGATTTTCCAAACGGACATGCATCACAAAAACTTATTGGTTCATTAGTCTTGTAGGGAAGATTACAAGTCCTAATGATATGATCTAAGACTTGAATAGAAGGATGTCCAAGCCGTTTATGCCACACGGTTGTGGACACCACTACATTAATGTGTTCAGCAAACGGGAAAGAAGGAGTTGGTTTCTCTGAACTGAGAGTATTATTCGACAGAGATACAACAGTGTGAGCAAACAACGGTGCAGTCAATGTGGGAGTAGCGGGTGGTGACCGGTGACTTCTATCAAGACGATAGAGGTTGTCTTTAAGTGTTCCTTTCAACAAAGTTCTTCCCGAAGCCTTGTCCTTAACCAAGCAAAAGTCAGTATGGAATTCAACAAAGACGTCATTATTTTTAGCTAGTCATGAGACACTAACAAGGTTTTTAGCTATATCAGGAACACGGAGAACATCTTTCAATTTTAAAGAACCACCCGAGGCATGGATATTAGTGCTACCAATGTGAGAGATAGATAACTTATTGCCATTTGCGACAATTACATTTTCGGTACCTGAGTAATCAACTTTTTGCTCAACATTGTTCGGGTTGGCAGTCACATGACTTGTAGCTCCACTGTCGGCATACCAACTAGGATCAATGACAGTCTCAGGGGTAGTGACCGTGGTAGAAGTGTGATGTGCAGCAAATACATTTGGTCCAGAATTTGAGGGGGTGAAATTTTTATGTTGGGTGGGTTGAGGTCCTGTGTTTTGATCAAAACGATAGTGACAAACGGCAGCAATATGTCCTATCCGATTACATACCTGGCAGATGGGTCTATTTCCATTGCTTCCATTGTTGCTGTTATTACCTCCCTATCGACCTCTGCCACGATTTCGTTGACCAAAACTTCCCCGTTGATAACCACCGCCACGATGAGTATTTGACCCATGACTGTTGTTTCCATTATTAGTCCGCTGGTTGGTTTGGAAGCTTCGCCCATCAACATAGTTCACTGAGGGTGTTTGAGTCTGGTTGATCGGGATGCCACTTTTGAGGGAGTTTTGGTATTCCAACCGTTTCTCGTATGTTAGAAGCTCTGCGTGCATTTCTGACCATGACAGATTTACTTTGCCTTGAACGGCCACCACGATGGGATTGTACTCTTCATCCAAACCTGTCAATACTTGTGAAACCAAGTCTCGAACAGAGACCGAACTACCCGCTAGGGCCAAATTATCAGCATGACTTTTCATAAGCTTTAAATATTCAATCATTTGTAATGAGCCCTTGCAGGTTTGTTGAAATACCTGTTTTAGGTAGTCTACTTCCGCTCTGGATTGGACACCAAAAAGTTCTTGAACTGCTGTCCATAGTTCACGCGACGTGGAAAACCCCATAACTTGCATGGCTACGTCCGCTGCCATCGAGTTGTAAAGCCAACCCAAGAGTAGTTTATCCACTACGATCCACGCCTCGTACGTGGGGTTCAAAGTTGGGGAGGATTGCGACGAGGTGCTGCCTTCTATATTTGTAGGTGTGTCTGTTGGAACAAGATGCGTGGGAGGGCATGGCTTGTCTCCCGTAAGGTAGTCAAATAGCTTGTAGCTTCGCAGGATCGGTAAGGCCAAATTTTGCCATAGTAGAAAGTTTCCTCTATCCATTTTAATAGAGGTGATTTGATTAAGTAGTTGATTCAACGGTGGACTGGTGAAGACAGCGCCACTCACTACTGCCGGAGGAGTCACGATTGGAGTGGGTAAGTTTGAGATCGTCATGACCTGCTCTTACCAAGTCAAGAAAACAATTAACACGAAAAGTAAAGAAGTAACTCAATAAGAAGTTTATGATTTGATTTCTGTGTGTTGCTACAATGTAAGCTCCCACATTTTTATAGAGAGGTGAGAGAACTAAATTTAGTAAACAAACTAACGAGAGATTGTGTTAACAATATAACTTGACTTTGAGAAGATCATGGAGTTAGTTGTTGGCTTGTGACTTGCACTTCGTCGCACTAACACATCCCCTACACACAAATGACTACTGAACTCAATTTAATTCACGTAGACCAATTTTCTTTAATTTCTCTTAATTGTGTGACCAATCACACCGTCAATATGATTGGTGGTGGCTCCAAAATTTTTTTATTCAAGAGACTTTTGAAAGAGGACGTCGGCCGCTGCGCGTCGTGAGCACGTTGCGACACCAACTAATTGGGTATCTTAATATATGAGATAATTTGTACAACAACCACTATTGAAGAACAACAAACAAATAGATTCAAACTAACAATATAGCCGAAAAACTATTTGGGATGGCCAAAGTGGCAGTAGCAGTAAAAGTAGTACCATTTTTGACAAGATTAATCTAGCTTCTGTCCAATCGAATTTGAACAAATGAAAACAAATAGACATTGAACCTCATACAAATACTAACCATGATAAAATTCCAGCAACAAAAAAACCCATTAATACATACAATAGGCCAAACTTAGATAAGTGTTCTAGATGTGGACAGATTGGGCATTTGTCAAATGAGTGCCTCAAAGAAGAGTAGTAGCTATCCTAGAAGAAATTGATCAAGAAGACAATCAAGATTATGAAATGAGGTCACGTATTTAGAATTAGATGAGGTGAGCAAAAATAAATAATCTTTTTCGCAACGACATCTTTATTCAAGATAAGATGCACCATTAATGGAATGATATGTAACGTGATTATCGACAATGGAAGCACCAAAATATTGTGTCTAGCGAATTTGTAACAACCCTCAACCTCCAACCCATCCCTTATCCTACACCTTACAAGATTAATTGGATCAAGAAAGGAGGCGAAGCTCAAGTGTCAAACATTCGTACAATTCTTCTGTCAATTGGGAATAACTACAAGGATCAAATTATTTGTGATGTTTTGGAGATGGATGTTTGCTATATCATTTTGGGTAGACCTTGGTAATATGATACACAAACAGTCCACAGAAGGCGGTATTATACTTATGAATTTACTTTGATGGAAAAGAAAAAAGTTCTCTTACCACTACCAATTACAACCACAAAGAACTCAATAGGTACAAACAAATAAAAATGTCAATTGTTTACTATCACTAGTGACAAACAATTACTCCTTCACCATGATTCACATGTTACTGGTCTCGTGATCAATGATTTTGAAGCAAGGGACAACACCATTTTGAATGAAACACATCCTCATGTCCTAGAATCATTTAAGTAATTTCCTACAATTCTGGAAACTCCTTCAACATTTCCTCATTTCCTCCTTTACGTGATATTCAGCATCAGATTGATTTGATTCTTGGAGCAACATTACGAAGTCTCACACTTTACCATACGAGCCTTACTAAATATAAAATCCTCCATGATCAAATCCACAGATTACTCGACAAAGGACATATTCAACTAAGTCTTAGTCCATATGCTGTTCCAATGAAGGTTTATTTGAATGGCTTGTAATTCTGTTTGGACTCTCAAATACACCAAGTAACTTTATGAGGTTTATGAACCAGGTTCTTCTTCCCTTCTTGAACAAGTTCATTATTGTTTATTTTGATGACAACCTTATTTATAGCAAGTCTCACGAAGAGCACATCACACGCTTAACTTCGTTATTCACCACTTTAAAAACCTATAAACTCTTTATTGACATAAAGAAATGTTCCTGTTTCGAAAATTTCATTCCTGGGCTTTATCATTGGACAAAATGGTATCAAAATGGACCCCAAGAAAATTCAAGCTATATCTCAATGGAAACAATCTCAATCAGTAAAGGAAATACAATACTTTCTTGGTTTAGCTTCCTTTTACAGAATTTTTTTTTATAAAAATTTTAGTTCAATCACTGCTCTTACCAATTGCTAAAAAAATTGGAAATTTCTTTGGGGGAGGATAAAACCTCAAGCTTCCACTTAGTAGATGGTACCTCTTAAAAAATGACCAATTATGTATTCCACACACCTCACTTCGAGAATCTTTCATCCAAGATGTGCATCCAGGTGATTTGGCAGGACATAGTGGAAGGGATCAAACTCTCTATCTAGTGTCCTCTACATTATTTTGGCCTCAATTATGATAATATGTCCATAACTTTGTCTCTAGATGCTTTATTTGTCAAACTAATAAGACTACATCCCAAAATACTAGTCTTTATATACAGCTGCCCACTCCAACCACAATATGGGAAGACCTATCTATGGCTTTTATTTTAGGACTTCCAAAAACCCAAAGAGGATTTGATTCGGTCTTTGTGGTGGTTGATCGTTTTTGTAAGATGTCCCATTTTATGGCTTGCAAGAAAACATATGATGCAATTTATGTAGCTATTTTTTTTAAAGGAAATAGTACGGTTACATGGAATTCCCAAGACCATAGTTTAATGAGTTGGAAATTATTAAGCTCCTTTACTGATTACACGTCATTTGCTCCTCTAGTTTATTTCCAATTTTTTTTTCCTTAGCTGGAATGATAGGGTAATTTTGTAATCTCCCCATTGGAGTGATTAAGTTAGTGATAATGATTGATAATTTTGTAAAAGCTGCAATTAAGAAAGTCTTTAACTCTAGAATATGTAGTTTTGTCAGCACTAAGGTCTAGAGATTTAGAGCTTCAAATCGAAAAGAGAGACCAAGGGATTGGGGAAGGATTAATGGCTAAAGGAAAATCTGAAAGTAACAGTAGCTACATAGGAAGAACTGATAAGAAAGACAACAAAGGAAATTGGTGGCAATCTCGGTCATTGATGAAAAAGATTTTTCATTTTGTGAACACTGCATCTACAGTAAGTCAAAGAGGGTCAGCTTTAATAAAGGACAACATACCACAAGGGAAAGATTGGATTATATACATTTTGACTTGTGGGGCCGTGCTGAAATAAACTCTTTAAGTGACGGCATGTATTTTATGACTTTAATTGATGTTTATTCATGGAAATTTTGGGTGTGTATACTTGAAACCAAAGAACAAGCAGTGGAAAATGAAGATTGAAAATCAAGCTAATAAGAAAATACAGTACTTAAGAACTGATAATGGTCTTGAATACTGCTGTTAGTTAACTCAAAGCTACAAATACAAAGTTTGAATGTTAGTTTTGAATTGGTTTGGTCAAAGACCTAGTTTTTTAGGAAGTTGTTGATATTCCTTTTTTAGTTGTAGTCAAGTCTAAGTAGCTATTCTTATGGGTTAGTTGAGTAGCTAATTATGTGGAGATAGTTATGTTTATTTTTAGTATCATACTATGTATTTATATGGAGCACTAATGAATGAAATCATCACTTCCCCCACTTTCTTATTTCTCTCTCAATAAGTACATCAACAGTGGTATCAGAGCCTTAAATTCTTAAGGGATCTGTGAGTGAGGATTAGTGAAATATTCCCGAGAGAAACTAAGTGATACACCTGTGAGAGTTTTGTCCAATGGAGTTAGGATCAAACAATCTTTCTTCACTAGCTCCACCTGTGTTTGATGGTGAAAACTATCAAACATGGGCAATCAGAATACAAGCCTACATGGAGGGTTGTGATTATTGGGAAGCAATTGAGCAAGATTATGAAATTGCTCCACTTCCTGATAATCCAACAATGCATCAGATCAAGACTC